AAAAAAATTATAAGAAAAAAACTCTATATTTCAATATCCTTCATGAACACAGGCATAAATAAAACTAAACAAAATTTTAACAAATCAAATCAAACAACATTTAAAAAGATAATAAATCATAACCAAGTGGGCTTTATCCCAGGAATGCAAGGTTGGTTAAATGTTCAACAATCAAGTGATGTTTTTCCATATTAACAAATTAAGAAAGAAAAACTCTATATTTTCAATAGACACAGAAGAAAACACCTGCCAAAATTCATTATCTATTCCTGATAAAAATTTTAAGCAAAGTGGAAATAGAAGGAAACTTTTCCAGCTTAATAAAGGGCATTTATGAAAAATCTACAGCTAATAGATTTAAAGGTTAAGGACTAAATGACTCCCCCAAAGATCAAGAGGACAACAAGAACATCTACTTTCACCACTTCTAATCAACACTGTACTGGAGGAGTTAACTAGTACAATGAGGCATGAAAAAGAAACAAAAGGCAACCATATTGTAAAGGTAGAGGCCAGTGTTTGCAGACAATGTAACTGTTTATATAGAAAAATCCAATGGGAGCTATAAAAAAACTAATGGAACTAATAAATGAGTTTAAGCAAGGTTGTAGGATATAAGATCAAAATCAATTATATTTCTAAATACTAACTAAATACTAAAGTTGAAATTAGAAAACAATGCAATTTATAACAGAATTTTAAAAATATGAAATACTTAGAGATAAATCTTATGAAAGATTGTACAAAACTGGTAAAATGGTTGCCTGGGGATGGGTGGGTGGGAGAGATCACCAAGGGGTAGAAGAAAACTTTTGGGGGTAACGACTGAGGTAATCGTTTCATAGGTATGTAGATACATCCAAGTCTATCAAATTGTACACTTTAATATTTGCAGTTTATATATCAATTATAGCTCAATAAAGCTTTAAAAACTGAAACCATATAAGTAATTAGGTGAAAACATGGGTGAATTCTTTTATAACTTGGGTGCAGGGAAAACTCTTAACTGTGAGCGACATACACAGAAGCAGTACAATACAGAAGCAATGTAGAAAAAGCATCATACATTTTATTATAAAAATCTTTCACATGGCCAAAATATATGCATATATATATGCTTGAACACACTTAGACACATCTAAAAAAAGAATATAAATGACAACCAGGTAAAAATATTTGCAAAGTATATCACAAAGTGTTGATATCCCCAGTATATAAAAGGTTCCTAAAAATGAAGAAAAAGACCAATTGCCCCATAGAAAAACAGATTAGAGTTATGAATAAATAATTTACAGAGAAAGAAATGCAGTAACTTTAATTATATTTAAAAATGGTAAATTTTGCCTATAACAGAAATGAAATTTAAACTACAGCAGGATACCATTTGTATCTATCAGACTGGCAAAAATCCCTGTTTGACCAAATAATGTGTTGGACAGTCTGTGGGAAAACAAGATATTTATACCTTGGTGGTAGGAATTCAAAATGGCACAGTTCCTATAGAGGGAAATTTGGCTTATCTGGCAAAATAAATTTTTTAGTCCAGTGATTTCATTTCTAAAAATATGGCTTAAGAATATAATGGCAATGGAAGCAAGCTAAGTGTCCATCAGTAGATGAATGGATAAAGAAGATGTGGTACATACACACAATGGAATATTATTCAGCCATAAGAAGAAAACAAAGTGTTTGACATAACAAACTGAAGGGGCTTCCACCAACTAAAAATAAGACAATTTGTGTAAGAATAATAACAGTCAATGGATCAAAAGAAATCAAACAGATTTACTCTGTAATATGAAGATATCAAAAAAACCTCCCCCAAACCCTAACCAATCACTTACGGAGGACTGCAGGAAACAAATTATTTGAAAAATAGTAAATGAAGGGAAAGAATCGAACATCATTCTGCTTGTCCATTGTGAACTCAACTTCAGGATAACTGAACAGTTGTTGAAGAGTAGTTTCTCTTTATAGAATTTCAGTTAATAAAAGGAATGATAAAATTCTATTTAAAACTCATAATAAATTAATGGATCTAGGAAATGATCTAGAAATAAAGCTCTATATGCCTCTTAATGGAAGCACACATTATTTATTACTTTTTTGAAATTGTGGTAAAATATATATAATATAAATTTATCATTTAACTATATTTAAGTGTACAGTTCAGTAGTGTTAAGTATACACACATCGTTTTACAACTCATCTACAGAACTCCGTCATTTTGCAAAGCTGAAATTCTATGCCCCTCAATTCTATTATTAAATAATAACTCCCCATTTTGCCCTTCCCCCAACCCCTGGCAATCACCTTTCTACTTTCAATGTCTATAAATTTGACTACTTTAGGCACCTCATATAAGTGGAATCATACAGTATTTGTCCTTTTGTGACTGGCTTAGTTCACTTATCATAATGTCTTCACAGTTCATCAATGTAGATGTTAGAATTTCCTTCCTTTTTAAGGCTGAGCAATATTCCATTGTATGTTTATAACACATTTTGTTTTGTTTATCCATTCATCTGTCCATGTACACTTAGGTTGCTTCCACCTTTTGGCTATTGTGAATAACACTGCTATCAACATAGGTGTACAAATATCTGTTTGAGACCCTGCTTTCAAAAAATAAGTACTTGCTTTCAAAAAAGGAAACCTGGTTCTGATCAGGTGTCTAGATCTAACTACCTATTTATATTTATAGAAAATGCAAGGAACTTAAAAACATCAAATAATACTATAGGCATACAATCAGCAAAACAGACCTTCTTTCTTCAACAGATAAACTGCAATGGAGAAAAATAGGATAGAGGGGAAACCAAGGGATGAAAAGAGACTTATTGAGAGACCTATCAATCAGTTTGTGTTTGACATAACAAACTGAAGGGGCTTCCACCAACTAAAAATAAGACAATTTGTGTAAGAATAATAACAGTCAATGGATCAAAAGAAATCAAACAGATTTACTCTGTAATATGAAGATATCAAAAAAACCTCCCCCAAACCCTAACCAATCACTTACGGAGGACTGCAGGAAACAAATTATTTGAAAAATAGTAAATGAAGGGAAAGAATCGAACATCATTCTGCTTGTCCATTGTGAACTCAACTTCAGGATAACTGAACAGTTGTTGAAGAGTAGTTTCTCTTTATAGAATTTCAGTTAATAAAAGGAATGATAAAATTCTATTTAAAACTCATAATAAATTAATGGATCTAGGAAATGATCTAGAAATAAAGCTCTATATGCCTCTTAATGGAAGCACACATTATTTATTACTTTTTTGAAATTGTGGTAAAATATATATAATATAAATTTATCATTTAACTATATTTAAGTGTACAGTTCAGTAGTGTTAAGTATACACACATCGTTTTACAACTCATCTACAGAACTCCGTCATTTTGCAAAGCTGAAATTCTATGCCCCTCAATTCTATTATTAAATAATAACTCCCCATTTTGCCCTTCCCCCAACCCCTGGCAATCACCTTTCTACTTTCAATGTCTATAAATTTGACTACTTTAGGCACCTCATATAAGTGGAATCATACAGTATTTGTCCTTTTGTGACTGGCTTAGTTCACTTATCATAATGTCTTCACAGTTCATCAATGTAGATGTTAGAATTTCCTTCCTTTTTAAGGCTGAGCAATATTCCATTGTATGTTTATAACACATTTTGTTTTGTTTATCCATTCATCTGTCCATGTACACTTAGGTTGCTTCCACCTTTTGGCTATTGTGAATAACACTGCTATCAACATAGGTGTACAAATATCTGTTTGAGACCCTGCTTTCAAAAAATAAGTACTTGCTTTCAAAAAAGGAAACCTGGTTCTGATCAGGTGTCTAGATCTAACTACCTATTTATATTTATAGAAAATGCAAGGAACTGAAAAACATCAAATAATACTATAGGCATACAATCAGCAAAACAGACCTTCTTTCTTCAACAGATAAACTGCAATGGAGAAAAATAGGATAGAGGGGAAACCAAGGGATGAAAAGAGACTTATTGAGAGACCTATCAATCAGTTATAATATATGGACATTATTTAGATCTTGATTTGAACCAATCAAGGGTGAGAAAATGTATTTAAAGATCAGGGAAATTTGAACACTAACTGGATATTCATATGAAGAAATATCAGTATTTAAAAGATATTACAATAACATTGTGATAATGTCTAAGAAGAATTTGTGTCCTTTAGAGGTACATAATAATTTCTTTAGGAGTGAAATGACATCTCTGGCTCTGCTTCCAAATAATCCAAGAAGTGGGGATCAGGATTGTGAGGGAGGACTGATAAGGCTACAATGAAACACTGACGGCCAAGATTTTATAACTGTTGAAACTGGTTCACAGTGGTTTTACTTTGTATGGTTTAAAATTTTCTATAATGTAAATTTAAAAAAAAAAGGACTTTAACTCGTTAATCTGCTCCACAAGAAAACTACCATTATTTCAGTTCAATCAAACCCTATCATCTTGTTTTTGGTATGTTTTAGACTATCTGCATTTTGTCCAAAGATAAAATACTGAAAAAAGAAAACCCTAAGACATGATTTTTTATAAATTGAATTAAAAACTGAACTTAGTACCATTACTTAACCCTTAATTTAGTGCTGTTACCAAGTATTAGAACTACAAATTCAATTTAAAGATTTCAATAAAAAGCTTTCTGGAAATATATATTGCTTGTTTTATGTGAACAGCTTCTCTCCCAAAATAAGAGAACTACATAACTAGCAAATTTATAGAAAGGAAAGGCAGAGAAGGTGGCTTTAAAAAAATGTGAATTGTAATATCCCTTAGTTTCAGATATTGAGAATCAAGTGGAATTTAAGAGTCACATAAGCAAAATATAAAAGTATTTTAATTCCTTTTGATTGATATCTACTTCAAATATAAAACTCCAATTGAATTTCTGCCTCTAAATAAATGCAGTATATAAAAATATATACCAATTCAGAGGAATAACAATGTTTAATCCTACCTGAAAGAGATCCAAGAGAGGCTTCCAAGAAAGCATTAAGACTGCTGCTCTGTTGATGGTTTTGGGAATTTCAGAGTAAAACAGTGTATTTTCTCTGTTTTCACCAGACATAGCTGTAAGGGAAAAATAATCATTTTTTATTATTTAAAAAAATTGTAACCTACTGCAGTCATAGTAGTAAGTACATAATGCTTCTATATACTGCAAAATTCTGCACTCTACGGGATCTATAATGAATGTTAACAAGTAGGAGATGCACGTGCCATAGGCCACAGAAATTTTCTTCAGTAAAACTCAGGCTTCACAGAAAAATGCTCAGGTTTCATTTTGATATTCAGATATTAGTCCCCCTCAAAACAAAGATAAAAGTGTATAAAATGATGTACAGATAAGTGTCATTTTTACGTTTTTTTGGAAACTATTAGTCTCAGTTGGCAGTAGACTCATCTGAGATTCTAAATGGGAGTGCTTTTAACAACTTCATATTTCTAAGTTTCTTCTCTTGCATCATTTAAAGCACCAATATACATAGGTCTAAATGAATTCTAGTTTTTCCTCGTAAATGTTTCATAACTGTAATCACTAATAAGTTTCAAATGAGAGTATATTCTTATTAAAACAACACAGAATCTGATAGCTGATTTGTTAAAAATCTTTGTCCTTTACTGGGGAATGGTGAAGGAAAATCTATACTAAGTAGAAGCCAGGTCTACTAAAATCATGCAGTAACTGAATGGGAAGATCTCAGCAGTACAGAATGTACTACATACAAAAGAAAATAGAAATACACTATGGTTATGAAGATGTGAACCAAAGAAAACTCAAAGTAAAACAAAGCCCTTCTACTCTAAAAGATGTTAGAAATGTATCACTTCCAATAAAGCCAGGGGAAAATGCAAGGAGAAAATAAATCTCACAGGAAGAACAATAAAACTGCCTTTTGGTGGAACAGATCCTCAGCCTAGTGTTTCTGACCATGGCAGAGGCAGTCTGTGGAAGGGCATGACAACTTCCATGGTAACCCTTGCAAAGTTTGGGGATGAGCCCCCATATATATATCACATCTTCCTTTTTCCCTGTATCTTCCTAAACCTTCCTTAATTTGCATTGTCTTTCTGAGTAAAAAGTTAGATCGGCTGACATTTACTTTAGCACTTGATTTTGTTTTAAATCTATTTTGTATTTTCCAGAGTTACTTTGTTCTAGAATTCTTAAGACCGTGGTCACCTATCCACACCATTCATAATTTTACAAAACGTGATATCCCCCTTAAGCCTTCTCCTTCTAAGAGCCTTCAGCCCTCACTTATTAAAACACTGGTTCTAATTTAACCTCCCACATTCCCCACAATCATTTTGGCTGACCCTCCTGAAACTGCTCCTTGTTCCATAATGTCTTCCTTGCCTTCACCCATGACCAGTAACAAATTCTAGGGCATTCTATGTACACTCACCCAAAATGGGCTTTAACATTATTTCTTTCCTGATGACACATACACTTATTGGTGTTCAAAGTATATATTTAAAATTTGTAAAACAATGGATTTATATGGAAACAAAGTTTAAAATTCAGATGGATATGAAAGATTAGAGCAAATGAAAAGGTATACAACTTTCTTGAAAAGCTCAACATTTTAAAGATTGTTAATTTTCCCTAATTTTATCTATAAATAAAATGTAATCCTAAAACAGTATAAATAGGGTTGGAAAGAAGGAGCTTTCTTCACAAGCTAATTTTAAGTTCTCATAGAAAAACAAGCAAACAAAAATGGTTAAGAAAAGTATGAAAAAGTGACTAGTACTATCAAACAGTAAGATTAATAAAACTACAAAAATAAGCAGCAGCATAGTATTAGAACTTACTTGATTTGACAACTCAATGGGACAAATAGTATATAAAGATTTTTAGAAATATAGTATTGGAGTTGGGAAAACCTTTCTAGATATGACGTAAAACTACAGGAAAGTAAAAATTTAACTACAAAAAAAAAAAATCACAAATTCCTACATGGCAAAAGGCACTAAAAGCAAAAAATAAACCTCAGGAAAAAATACCACAATGGGTTAGTTCCCTCATTATACAAACACAAAATGCTTAAGTCAAAAAAAAAAATACCATATAACTCAATAAAAAATAAACAATGCTTCTAAACAGATCAGTCACAGTAAAGGAAATACAAATGTCTTTTAGATATGTGAAAAGATACTCAACCTCCCCAATAAGAGAAATATGAATTAAAACTACAGTGAGGTATGGGGATATAACTTATAGCATGGTGACTATAAATATACTGTATTCCATATTTGAAAGTTGCTGAAGAGAGTAAATCTTAAAAATTCTTGTCACAAGAAAAAAGGTATTTTTCTGTTAACTATTAAGATGAGAGACGTTAACTAGACTTATTGTGGTGATCATTTTGCAATTATTTTGCAATTATTATGAAACTAACATAACGTTATGTCAATTATACCTCAATTTAAAAAATAATAACTAAGACAAAACTACAATGAGAGACTGCTGTTCACTAATCAGACTGGAAAAGATAAAAATGTTTGATTACTTACTATTGGTGAAGGTGTGGAGCAACAGATACTCTGAGACAATGCTGATAGGAATATAAACTCTATAACCTCACTGAAGGGGCAATTTGGCAGTATCAATCAAAATTTAGAATACATACACCTTTTGTCCTAGTAATTCCACCCTTTGTAATTAGTCCTATAATCAAATTCACACATGTACAAAATGATCTGAAACAGTGATATTCACTGCATCTTTTGTAATAACAAAATAGAAAAACCTAAATACTCATTATTACAGGCCTGGTTAAGTAAATTATGGTGCAACGATATAATGGAAGACTCTGGAGTTGTTAAAAAGAATGAATCTATAATTACTGATGTGGACTAATGCAGAGAATACTCCTAAATATATGTGTATGTATATAGGTATGTAAGTATGTATATATGTATATGTGTGTGCATGTATATGAAATAGCTTTGGAGGAGGGGAGAAAAATCTAATAAACAAAAAAGTAAATCTGTGCTGCAATATATTTTAGACAGAGTGAATGGGCTTGAGAAGAAGAGACCAGGCTTGGTTTAAAAAAATGAAAGCAGCATGGGAACAAAGTAATGGTTTTATTGTTTGTGTTCCTAATCTGACCATTCCTAAGGAAAGGCATTTCCAACTAGCTTTAGGAAGAAGTAATTTCTGGCATCTTCAACTTTGACTTTGAAAGTAAGATTATGGTCAAGTCATGATTTGTTAATCTGCAAGTAATAAAGTTACTGATGAACCAAAACTAACAGCACCCAAACTGATTTTCTTCAAATCAGTTTCTTTTTCCTTTAATAAAACCATCATTGAGGACTCTCTTGTCCCCTCCTGGTATGAGCCAGGAGCTCTATTCTCTCACTTTATCTCTAAATAACAGCCTGTACCTTGCTCTCCTAAAAAAATAATAATAAAATAAAATAAAACCATCATTCAGTTATTTATTCACCAAAACTTGCCAATTATATGTAGCCTCTAACTTTGAATTAAGAAAGCATTTCCTCTCAGAAGCTATGACTTCAGACTCACCAAGGTAATAGATCCTGTGTGAATGAGGCCCATCTGGATCATTCCTCTTCACGAACATAAAGTCATGTGGTGCCTTAGCCATCATGTAGCCATGATATTTTCTGGTATCAGCAAGCAGCTTTTTAAGCTGACTCCAGGAATATCGCTCAACATAAAATGGCTCCAATTTAGGGTGATCCTGTGATTCAATATTCTCCTCACACTCTGCAGTTTCAAAGATCTCAACACCCAGCTGTTCTGTTTCCATTGCTGCTGCCATGTTGCATTTTCCTAGAAAAACAAGGCACATAATGTTCACAGGCCTGCCTTCTCTTCATCAAAATGACAGTCTGATATGCAACCCTCAAGAAAAATATGCTTTTCAGCACAGTTGCAATAACACCTAGTAAGAGAAGCAACAGTTCCCCTTTTCTGTGTTCAGTTTAAAAATGAGATTAAAAAAAATTGAGGTCATGTCTATTTCACAGTGACTATAAATTCCTTTGGGAACATTTGTAAAAGGCTCTCCTTTGGTGTCTCTTGCCAAAATTCCTTTTTCTTTCCCACGCTGGAAGCAAACAGGCCATATGCCAGTTGGCTGTTATGCTCCATCCAAGACCATGTCAATAGTGAAGCTAAATGTGCCAAGGGAGTTAGTGTTTTTGCATTTTAAAAAGTAATACATTTAATAAATGTGGACTTCTTCAGTTAACAGAAATAGTCACCACCAATTAAAACAGTAAGAAAATTGTCACAATGTACTTGTAATAACCTTCCTAAGACACTTACCCAAGATAATATAATGTTTCCTTTTAAATGTAACTCCAAACAATAAAGACTTAACTGCTGGTACATTTTTCTTTTTTTCTGCTCTTGCTTAGACATCACCATTTTATGATCATTTGTGGTGACGCTATTACAGATTATACAACTTTTACTCTCATGATTAAATGAGAGGAAAAAAAATCAAGTGGCTTTAATTAGTTGAAGACATTGATGCAGAAAACATTTTACTGTATTTTGATAACCACAAGTCTGAACCCAATTTACCAGATTGACTCCAAAACAATGTTATTTCATATACTAATATTTTTTCATTTTATAGATCCAGAAGAGAATGTATTTCCCTTTATCTATTTCAATATTTAAATGGAAGAGGACAAAGTATCAGAGAAAATAACAAGAAATGTTACTGTAAGCCATTGTGTGATACTGACATGTATTATTCATGACACTACCAAAAAGAAACGTAAACAAAAGTTCTGGGATAATCTGCTTTTTTTTTCTTTTAAGGCTATAAGATGGTTTTACTGAGCAAGGAGAAAGTACACTCTCAAAGGGAGAGTGGGCGGCGTGAGAGGTCAGGACCAGCCTTTACAATCTGCTTTTTGGTCTAACAAATGTCAAAAAGGTGTACTTGAGAGAAACTAGATTACATTTATGTAACCAATTTCACATAATTATTAAGTACTTCCAGAACAACAATCAACTTAATACAATGTTACTTTTAAAGCTCAATTTTGCAGGTTAACAGGAGTTCATGGCAAGAGCTACCAACTACAGATAAAAAGTAATTAGCAGGTGTGGGCTGTGAATTAGTTTATCAGACATGCATTATGGCATGCAAAATCAATTGAACTATGTGGCCAGGATTTGTATCTTTTTTTCATGCTACAGTGAACTATGCTACCATTTTCAATGTAACAGTATCAAACTGGCCAGAAAACCCACTCAAGAGTTATATCAGCTATACAACTTGTAATATTATTGCCTCAATGACTAAAATCCAAATAGCTCAGCAGAGAAAAAGTGATTTGGCTCAACTGGTATTCAGCACAGATATCGATAGTCCATGATAGAGGTGCTGCCTGCCCATCTAAACTAGTGGAGGCCTACTTTCTATCACGTAAGCCAAGGGTTTGATTTCTAATGGAGTGAGGGACTCATGAGAGAAGTTATACAAACTGCGCTCACTTTTCTCAACCTCCCTTGTGTTAAATTTGGAATTTAATCTCCAAACCATTGCTTGTCAAGAATAGGACTAGGAAATAGAACAGGGAAGCTCAGCAGACAGAATTCCCAAGCCTTACTACCCAGCTTCTTGAGTCATTAACTTGACATCTTTCCTATGTAAAAGTTATGTCAGCTTGCACTTATCTGGTATTCCTAAATTGTACTGGGTCTCTGGACTATTTCTGACTCTACACACACACACACACACAAATTTTTACAGTTCAAATGATGCTCTAGTACTCTGTATGTTTATGGTACATGTATATCCTGCATTTCATAGCATAGACCTGATATTATATAACTTTAGTAATTGACACAAATGTTACTAAATCATTTAATTTCCAGATTTCCATAACTTGTATACATCCTCAAAATATGTGATCTGAGTTTTCTAATTTCAAAAACTAGAAAATAGGTTCAGTATATAATCTCAGCACAGTGCATGTATTTTACTGACCCACCTACCTCCTCACTTAAGGCCCTTCCTTGGTGCCTACCTGATTGTATTTTCATCTGCTCAGATCTCTTCCACATTCAAAGAGATCTTTTTTCAAGTGACTCAACTTCAAGTATAGCTCCCTTTGCTCATCCTGGTCTCTTCTCATAGGAGTCTTTCCTTTTCTCACCATCCAATCCTGCTCACCAGGATAATGAAATAAGATATAATGCTGTTGATCATTATTAAAATAGATCATGTGGCCAAAAATATTAAATCCAAAACGTTTCAAATAGTACTTAAAACTGATACAGCAATATTCTTTTTTGCATAATATATGCCTGATTTACCTTATCTGCATTTTAGATTATTAAAATTATGAACTTATCTCAGAACTGTATAGCCCTATTTACTTAAAAGAATACCCTAATAATCATATAAATCCTGATGTCCAGACAAACATTAAAAGGAAAATTATGGAAGAACTTCAAGAAGTATAAATGGCATACAGATGTGAGGTTCCTCAGTGGCTATTGCAACTTCTCAAAAATGACAGATGATTAATAAATTCTATTTCTATGTGCCTGGCCCTGTTCCTTTGACCTAACACATTTGTATTATTTTATGTAAAACATACCGGGCTGGTTGGAGACAAGAACAGATTCAGTAGAATAACCAGTACTAATTATTGAACAGGCCACTTTCGTGGAAAGGGAACAAACTTTCATTTAATAATTTAAAATTTTCACAAGATAAAGAATGTATCGTCCATTTTAAGTGCACTCCACTTTTGCTTCTTTCCTGTCCACATACACTCTGAAAATAGTTGAATTAGGCAAGTTTTCTGGGAAAGGAAGCGTTACGTTTGTTGAAATTATGTTTTTAGTAAAGCAAAAATAAGAGGAGGATCCGTGACTACACATGTAGTTTGTTATCAGTTTTAATTCTGGGCTCTCATAGCCCAAGCAGGTGATAGAAAAAGATGTGATGAGTGATGCTCAGTGGCAAATGGGGACAAACAGTGAAGCTCCGCTAGCACAGCAACAATGGACTAAGATGTCAGGGCACGTTTCCACGCACTAAACCCCTCACTCAAAACGTCTTTCCTTAATTTTGAATGCAAGGGTCAGTCGTCCGCTTAAACACCCCAAGCCTCACGGAAGCCTAGTCATTTCACTCTCAGGGTCCACAGCTAGTTGAGAGGTTCGTTATCATAGACGAGGCAAAGATCTTGAAAGCTATGAATTGAGAAAGAGGAGAGGTGTAGCAGAGAATGCTGAGGAGGAGACTTCGGGGGATGATATATCTCGTAAGTCTTAGCATAAAAATGTATAAAGGAAAGGTTTGGAAAAGGAATTATTCCTACCCCGGTGGGTGAAATAGAATGAGAGGGGGACCAGTGAGAAGGGAGGGAATCTTCCTAGTGAGGTAGTAGAAAGAACCAGCTGGGAAACCAGAAAAATCTCAGTCCTAATCCCATCTGCCACAATCGGACTTCAGGCAAATCCCTTCGCCTCTGTGGGTTCCCGTTTGCTCATCTGTAAGCCGGACAATACCCGGTTCCCAACCCCAGCAAGGCTCAATTAAGATAACGGACGTGTGAGCCCGGAGGCCAGCGCTCAGGGGGCGCCCAGTGAACGTTGCTTGACTCGGAATCTCAGAGCCTCAGCTTCCTCTTCCGGCAGTGGGGCCCCGCCGCCGGCTCAGGCCCGCGCGGGGCAGCTCGCCGGGTGAACCGCAGACGCTCTAACCGGAGAACGCGCCGTGCGGTTCCTCCGTGAGGCTGAGGCCCCGGTGGGCTGGGGCCCAGGCCTCGCGGGCGAAGGTGAACGAGAGGGAGCGGATACTGCACCTTCCCCCCCGGCCCCGCCCGGACCGTCCCGACGGTGCTACGGAGCGGGCCTGCGCCGCTTCATGCCGCGCCGCCTCCACTCCCGACCCGGCTGCAGCAGGTCCCTCGGCGACAGAGCGAGTAGTAACCGAGGCGGCGAACGCGGTACTTAAAGGCGGCGGCAGCGGTAGCTCGGTACTTCCCGTTCCTCGCGACCCGCCCTCGGACTAGCGAAGGTGCAGCGGGGCCAAGAAGGGCGCCGCTCCCTGCTGCGCAGGGTCCGTTACGACAGTGCCGTCTAGCGGTCGGAGGAGCGAACGAGGCGCGGGAAGGTCCCTGAACGGGGTTGTGGGACGAAGATGAAATCCAGGGGCAGCGACTTGCTCAAAGTCACAGGACAAATTGTGGTGCGTCTCTACTCATCCAGTTCTTTCATTCCGCAAATGTATACTGAGTGCCCGCAATGTTCCAGGCCGACTTGTAGACGCTGAGATTAGAGCAGGGAGCACGCCAGGCAAAAATCTCTTCCCCTTCCCGGAGATGCCCTAGGGAAGGGACCAGGGCCTTGGGATCTTCTGAGAGGCTCGTTGTTACTGCCAGAAACCTGAACTTGGAGTCAGAAAGCTCGGTTCTAGTATGAGTGATCTTAAGCAGGTCACTCAATCTTTTTGAGGCATGATTTCTTTATCTGTAAAAGAGGTATAGTAACACGTCACTTAGTTGAATTAAAGAAAATCATGTGTGTCACAGTAACGCAAAGTGAAGGAACCGTGGGCCCAGGACAGGGAGTGACTCAGAATAATCAGAAACTAGAGGCAAGTCTCTCGATCCGCTATTTCTTTCCTATTCTACACTACTCTTTCTCTCTGCTGAGGGTGAGAAAAGGGGAGCCTGAGGCGATGACTAGGAAAGTGGTAGGCGTAGAACAAAAATAGTGGAAAAGCTGGGGCTCCCCTATATTCTTTATTACAAAAAACTATGTGTCAGAAGTGTGTGTCATTAAGATGTATTATAAGAGCACTAAAAAAAGATCCATTTGGGTGCCATGTTCCACTCAGTAGGTAATTATTCACTGAGTTTAAATGAGTCTTCCTTCAGGCTTTTTTTAGCCATGCTCCCCTAAAAGAAAGGTACATTTTCACTGGGACTCCTCTGTGGATTTTCTGCAAATTACCTGAAAGAAGGTTTTAAGGCTCTGAGTGCATATGCGCACACTAACAAAACACACTTAAACATCTTGCACTTCATTTCATTCATCCAGCAAGTGTTACATTATTTGAATATTTGCCATGTGCCTGTCACTGTTCTGAGCACCGGGGCTACAGTAGTGAAAAAAATAGACAAAAATCTCTTTGTGCAGTTTACATTTTAATAAGAGGAAAAAGACCTTCCAAAAGCAAACAAACAAAAAATGTATAATTTTATGGATTAAAAAAAATGAGCCCTAGACAGGTAAAAGACTTGCTTAAGTCACATGGCTAATTATGGATTGAACTAGATTTGAATTCAGATTTCTTGATTTTCAGTCTAATTTTCTCTATGGCAGGCTTAAAAAGCCTTAAGCCCTGAGAAAGCTAGCTGTAGGGTAACATCTCCACCAAACACCCTGGAAACCTCACATGTATTCTATAGGTCTCACAGGCAAGGGTTGAACTGCATCTTGTCTGAGTCTTAGCAGAATGCTTTGCAGAATAGGAAAGAATGGGAGGCTTATGGGGACCTAGAGAGAATACATTTCTGTTGTTTTAAGCCACCCAGTTTGTGGTACTGTTATGGCAGCCCTAGGAAACAAATATACAGCTAATCCTCAGGTGTGACCTCCAACCACCCAATGATGATGTACCAATGAGATATTTGTTACCTGTCAGTCTCTAGTTGTCAGTCTGTACTCTATTCCTCTTTGCCCTAGGATTGCTGGCCCTTCTCAGATAATCTCCTGTACCTACACCAACACCCAGGAAGCCTCAGGCCCTGTCTTGCCAACCTCCAACCTCCATCTCCACTCACTCTCATTAAACTAGGGGACCGCTTCTTTAGGGCCTCGCACTAATGCCTGGGCATGAACACGGGCCTTTTTCCCTAGATCCCTAAACTTGGCGTGGGGGTGGAGGAGATCTACCATCCCCCTCAGCTTTGGAGAAGCCCTTTAGAGGAGGTGAGGGCAAAACTCAGGCTCCCTGTCGGGGACACTCCCTCACTTCCTTTAAAAAAAATCCTGGGGTTTACTGAACTCCAAAGTCAGGTTGCATCATTTATGTAAGTTTCATCGAGGAGAGTCCCTTACTTCCCTTTTGACTTTCTTCTCTCTACTCTGACTGGCAAAATTTTATTTAGTCTGCATATTATTCCAAATATTTTCTGTTTCAGAGATGCAGCTGGACTTAAAAGAGAAGCTTGTGATGCCTCTGTTCTCTAGTCCCACATTACAACTCCCAGAAAGCAATGGTTGCCTCATGCTAGCTCCCTAAATTGGGAGGGATCAAGGGTTATAAAGGAAGAAAACAAAAACAGAAGTTACTTCCCAGTATCTTATCAACATATAAAGTTGTGATTGGAACTTTTGGATTTTTTTATCATAAACGTTTTCAGTATTGCTTATTTCTGATTCACCATGTGCATGGCTGTGTAGTTATACAATTCACTTAGTCATTTTCCTTGTGTAATTTCCAATGTTACATCGTGAACATTTTCATATATACACCTTTCCTTGAAATTATTATTTTTGTTGTTGTATAAAGATAATCTTATTACGATTTTTTTTGCAGTTAATTTTATCCTATCAGGGAGTAATCCCCCCCCTTTTTTTGTTATCATTAATCTACAATTACATGAAGAACATTATGTTTACTAGGCTCTCCCCTACACCATGTCCCCCCCACAAACCCCATTACAGTCACTAAGTCATACTCTTTATTTTGGTATCATTAATATACAATTACATGAGCAACACTGTGGTTACTAGATTCCTCCCATTATCAAGTTGAAATTATTTTCTTAGAATAAAATCTCCAAAGGGGAACTATTAGGCCAATCAGCATAAACATCTCCATTTTTCTTGTTACGTATTATAAAACTGCTTTCCAAAATGGTTCCATGAATTCATATTGCCCTTAGCTACATTCAGCATGAGTGTGCCACTTTCACTAAAACTTTTCCAGCACTATTATCATCAACATATGAAACATGTTGCATTAGATGCAAAGGATACCCAAAGTAGGCAAAGTAGAGATTTATCATCTAGCTGAGGAAACACGATATGGGGGCCTAGAGTTTCTTTTTCCACTTCCCCCATATTTAGAATCTTTTTACAGCAGAGTATAAACAAAGCTGCAATAATAAAAAAGGGCCTTCTCTGGTGATTTTCTTTTTCATGTCTCAGTTTTTGGAAAGATAATACTGTCACATGATTCAAAGGTTCTGAAGTATAAAAGGGCTTATAGTAAAAAATATTCTCCTATCCTGATCCTCCAGTCACTCAATTTCCTTCCCCACAAAAACTGATGTTACTGATTTATTGCATATACTTCCCAGTGATATTTTGATATATAAATGAATATATATAGGTATATTGTTCCTCCCATTAGTCCACTGTTTTTACACAAATGTAGCATACCAGCTGTCTGCACCTGACAACCACATAAGCAGCCCGGAGAGCCAGGAATTATGAGGTACGTCAAACTGAAGAGGGTGGAAAGGCTACTGCCCATACCCAAGGAAGGTTTAGTCTGAGGTGGGGGGCATTCTGTGCATTCTTCTGAACTGTAAATTGACAGGCAGAAGGGAGGGTTTTTCCAGCAATGCATGGCTGCAACACCCACCCTCCCGGCACAGGAGGTTGGTGCAGGCATAATGCACATGCGTCCCCAGTAGATGCTGGGCTGATCCACTCAGTCTCCCTCTCTATTCTTAACTTTGTGCTGTCTAGATAGAGAAACCTTATTTTGGTTAAGGTTAATTGGCTAGGTGATCCTGGGTAAGGCACACACAAAACAGCCAAATTCTACAGCTCATTTTTACAAACTGCTTCCAGGAATCCTGAAAAAGGTGAACAAGTAGAACATGTATTATCACTTGCCAAAGGCAGGAAAACAGTTTTAAGCACTGAGCATGTGTTTCATTCACAGCAAACACTCAGTAAATAAATGCTTCCTATGGCCTTAGAAGGGAGAGATGACCCAGGGCCAAGCAGAGCTGGGAAGGCTGCATCTAGAAGGTCGGACAGGCAGGGCTCAATCTGCATTTTTATTTGACCAATTATCATAAAACCTTCAGCCCCACCTACTTCAACTTGGCAGTGCTACTTGGCTCTGTCATCCTTCATAAAAGATGACAGAGATGATCACCTCTGCCATCTTTTAGTTTTATAGTTTACCTGGATGCCATTCATTCCTCCTTCCACTTAATTTTTTAATTAGATTTCCCTTGGAGAGAGGGGTCCACAATAGCTAGCATCTTCACAGGATCTAATAAGCACATTGAAGGGGCAGAGTTCAACTCTCTCATTTGATGGATCTAGAAACTCAAGCCCAGAGAAGTCAACCAGTAGGTTAGTGGTGGTTGAACCATGCTGGATAGACCTCCTTCCTCCAGACCTTTCTAATGGAGCAGCTGAGGCAAAATGTCAAGATTCAATCTTCTTGCTTATCAGTAGCATACACCTTGGAAAGAAGTCAGTTTACTGGGTTTCAAGTATGCTGGATAAAATTGTTTTATTTCTGTGTCATACATCCACCAAAATGGCTAAAATTAAGAAGACTGAAAATAACAAGGATACAGAGTAACTAGGACTTTCAAACATTGCTTGTGGGGATGTAACTTGATCAAAACACTTTGTAAAGCTGCTTAGCAGTATCTAATCTAAAAAGCTTAGCATACACCTACACTATGATCTAACAATTCTACTCCTAGGTATTTACCCAAGAGAATTAAATACACATATCCACCAAAAGACTAGTGCACAGATGTTCATTGCAGCTTTACTTATAATAGCTAAAAACTGGAAACAGTGCAATGTCCATCATTGGGAGACTGTATAATAATTTGTGGTATTTTCATTCAGTGAAATACTGTGCTGCAAAAAGAAAGAAACTCTTCCGTTTATATGAAATTTAAGAACAGACAAAGCTATAGTAATAGAAGTCAAGATAGTAATAATTGGGGACAAGGATGGGTATACTGACATGGGAGAACCTCGGGGATGCTGGAAGTGTTCCAGACCTTAATCGAGGTGGCAATTAATTGCACAAATGTAAATGTAAGTAAAAATTCAGCGAAAGGTGGATGTTTAAAGTTTGTCCATTTTCTATCTACCTCAATTTTTAAGAAGTGCTGTATATTGCATCTGCATTGAAATAAAGGCAATGCAGTAAAAATACTTTCATCATTTCAAAAAGTATTTTCTTTTCAAAATTCAAGGCTATCAAGGTTACTGCTTTCAGTATTCCATTCCTGGCAGATTGCATCACTTCCAAACGGTTTGCCTACTTCCAGTTCCTCCTCACAGACAGGTCATTCTGCAGAGCACATGATTTTCCTAATCTTCAGTTAAACAAATGTCCTTGGCTCCCCGGTGTCTGTGGGATAGCATACAAACACCTCCATGGAAGCAAACAAGGACTTTCCTAATCCATTCCCTATCAGTCTTTCCAGATCCAGGGTGACCTTTCCTCTCCAAGCCTTTAATCCCCAGCACCCAGAACTTCCCCCATCTCTTCACCTTTGGACTTGGGTGCTATGCGTCCACTGCCCTACCTCTGCTTCTTCACCTCTATCAAATTCCTCCTCCTATTTCACTGCCCGGCGCTCAAGGATTTGCTCTCAAATGTCCACCCCTACCTCCTAAAACCTTTAGTTTATACTTTCCTGCCTTTTCGTGAGCTTAGCGCATTCATATTAAAAACACTCCATATTTTATACAATCCACCTTCTGAGTTAAATGCTTCCTGAGAGCTGGCATCATTTCTTTTCATCTCTCAATGCCTGTGCTCAGTACTTCGCTAAATAAATGGGTGCTAACAACTGATTTATAAGTTTCATTTTTGTTCTAGACTTCTGGTTTTCATAGCAATGTTGCTTCCTATTAAATTCTTCACTGTAGCAGATTTGTAGAGATGAAAGTTGGTACAGATGAGACAGTTTAAATTAGATATAAATTAGGGTTGTCTCTAATTTGGGTTTCCTATTTTAAGAGAGAGAACTCTCCTGCTCTGCCCATGAGTATAGCTGGATATGTGGCTATTTAAATTGATTTTAAGTAAATAAAATTAAAAATTCACTTTCTCAGTCTGGCCACATTTCAAGTCCTAAAAAGCCTCAAGTGGCTAGCGGCTACTGTTAGCGAAGAATGGACTATTTCTATCATCGCATAAGGTTCTATGGGACTGCGCTGTAAACCTAGGGTTTTGCACTTACTCTCCTCTCTCAAAACACCCTTCCACCCTCTTCCCGTACTTCCCCTATAACCATCACCACCTTTAATGTGCCTGTAATTACAGGGTTCCAGAACGGCGGAAACTGTCTTACTCCTGTAGCTCCATAGTTTACTTTCGAAACCCAGGCTCAATTAGCAGGCGCTCAGTAAATGTTGAATTAATGAGTGATAGAATGGGAGGGATCTTCCAGATACACCAGTCCCAAGCTCTTTTCTCATACTGACCGGTCCTTTATGACTCTCCAGCATTTCTAATTTTAAACCTATTTTAAAGCACGACCCTGGAGAACGGGGGAAAGCGCGGTGCACCTGCCAACTGCAACTCCCGAGGCGGCCGCAGCAGCACTGGCGTCACACCCGCCTCGGCCCGCCCCTTCCCTCCCGGGCCCCGCTCGCCTGCGCACGGCTAGCCGCTGGCCCTGAGCGCGCGCCGCCGGCTCCCCCACACGCGGCCCCCCACCGCTCGTCACTGCGCAGGCGCGGCCCGTGAGCGTGGGGCGGCTCGAGCCTGCCGGCTGCTGGCGCTGGGAAGCGCGGGGGTTTGCGGCCTGCGTTCCGCACCCGCTGGCCGCGCACTACCTGAGACCGCGAGGCGCAGGCCGAGTGTCCCCGCGCTCTGAGCAGTGTGGCCATGGAGAACCAGGTGCTGACGCCCCACGTCTATTGGGCTCAGCGACACCGCGAGCTGTATCTGCGCGTGGAGCTGAGTGATGTGCAGGTAAAGGCCGGGTCCGGGCGGCGGGACGAGCCGGGGCATCGCAGCCCCGGGGACCATCCGGGACCGCCGTCTTCTTTGTCCGGGTGCGCGCGGGAGAGCCTGCGGTGCGCCGACTGGATCCGCGACGCTGTGCGCTCCCGGCGTCCAGGCCCGGGCCGGGGCTCGCCCTCGTCGGGGAGCAGCCGCAGACCTCGGGTCCAGGGCGCCATACTGAGGGCTGCAGGTACCTGTCTGCGTGAGTCCTGCGCGGGCCTCGGAGGCCGCCCCGGGCCTCCTCTTTGTTCGCAGTCTGCGGCTTGATGGAGCTCGAACCGGCCCGGGAGATTCGGCCGTCGGGGTTCAGGTTTGCTGAGGCCCTTCGAGGCGCTGCGTCAGGGGTGCAGTGCACAGAGGCTTGCTAGGCCGTGGCTAGACGTCTAGCGCTGGCCTAAGAGGTCCAGCCAGGGGATATTCACAGGCCCGCCGCTGCCTCAGGGGCCACACCCACCCCTCAACTGTTAAATGATGTTAAATCTTTTTAAATCCAGAAGACCTCGAGGAAGTGATTTTTCCTCTTGTTCTGAAAGCTGTGAGTCCAGGTTTGCGTTGCATAGAGAGCTTAAAAATAAAGTTACCCTGAGCATTTATGTTTGATGTCATCGGCCCCTTATGTGAACATACGGAAGCCTCCTAAACGGTGGAGATTCCATGACCTGTGTACCCCGATGTCCCTGTCCAAACATCCAGAAGTACAGTCTGAGGGACTGGAAGGTTCAGTCTGGAATGTTCTTTCTACAGTCATCCTTAACTCCCAACTTCTTGACATCTGTGGCACTTTGTAACCTCCTTCACTTCACTTAATTCTTTCAGAGTCAAGCGTTTATATATGTTTTGATCTCTCTGTCTGTCTGGCATATTGTTTTGCAAAGCTCCTTAAGTGTGCACTTGAATTTGTTGAATTTAATTTTTGCTTCTGTAATATACACCTGTTTTCCTGTTGAAAGATAAAGATAATACTGGCCAAATGCCTTTAAGTAGGATGTGACTTTGCATGGTGTGTCATTTAATGTTTAAACCAGTCTGAAGTATATATCCTTTTGCGTCAGAGGATGAATGAATGTTCTGTGCTGTTTCCCTCTATTCTGCTCCAAGGTGTTTTAATAAAAAAGGAAAAAACAAAATCTTTGTAGTTGGGGATCAAAGTCTCCATGTTAAGAGGGTTCTTCAGCGATCTAGGGAAGCAGGAACATGTTATGACAATCTCTGTATTTACTTAAGCATTAGGTAAAGCACTTAAATAAATTCAGGCCCTGGACTCTCTAGGTGTCTGTCCTGTAATAAGGATGCAATATTCTGGGATACTTTTGAAGCTACAGATAAGGAGTTTTTAGGGGGAATAGGACATTGGTGGTGGAAAGAAATGGAAATTAGTTGGACTATTGAAAGAATGCGTCATAATTATATTTTTCTTGAAAGGGCTAAACCTCTTTGTGAAGAAACATGAACACATGTTAATTGTATTAGATATACTTAAAAGTAAAAAGATATATGTTTGAAATATAGTTAAAGAAATGTAAAGGTGGAGGGAAAAAATGGGAGTTTCTTTTGGAGGGAGAAATCTTTTAAAATTTTTTGGTAAAAAATAGATCTTTTTTCCCCAATTGAGTTTTTGGGTTTTCTGGAATTTCCCATCTGTAATTCTAAGGAATCCATTTCAACTACCACTAGTTTAAAAGCAACACGTTAATACCATTCATAAAAGAAATCCTCCTCCATGAGTGAGATACTACAGATTTATGAAGATGAGTCAGACAGACTCAGCTTTCCAAGGGCATACTATCTAGAAGGAAACAAGTTTTGTGGATATTTATTGGCAGAGTTGGACTTAAATATTGAACCAGGTCCTTGGTGTTAAAGGAATTTGTTACTTCTCTTTTATTCAGTTTAAGATGACTTCCAGAAATGAAATGAGTGTTCTTGTCAAACTGAGATTGGGAGAACTTTCCAGAAAGAGAAAGGCATAGACTTTTAGATTGTCTGACTTGGACTGTGTCAGTGCCCTTTATCCAAAGACTGCCAGGGACACACCTCTAGTTAAAAGAGTTGGGTTTATTATTCATTTCAGCAAGGGAGAGCATAACTCATAGGGAACAATAGGGTGTTTGTCTCATTAAGTGGGAGTTAGAATTGATTATATGGTTTGGACTTTGGTGATTGGGGGAGGGTTTAAGGAATCTGGGTTAGATTTAGATAAGATGCTCTCATAAAGTGGGGCAATTCTGTGGTTGGGTATCTGAATAAGTTATATCTACAGGGAGGAGAAACTGGCACATAGATAAAACCTGTAATTGGTAGAGAAGTAGCAGTCCCTTATTTTTGCCAAAAAAGCAAGTGTGGCTAGTATTTTGTGGATGGTAAAGTAGTCATGTTTTTGTCTGTGTTTACACAAAATTATGAGATGGCCTTTGTCTCACTTTATCAAGGCTTCAGATTAACTTTGTTTGATGTTGGTATTCTATGAGATTGTTTATATCCTATGGGAGAATAACATGGCCTATTTGTCAGTGTCAAGCCAGCTTCTACATGTCAGGGACTGCTCCTTTTAAACATTTCTCAGTTGCTTTATGCAGGACCTGTGAAACCAGTTATTCTTGCACAGGATGAAAATTCATTTATTTGCTTTATAAAAATCATTTGAGGAGTACCTACTAGTGTCTCATTAAACTAGGTGCTGGGTTGTTAGACAGCTCTCTGTCGTCCCCTACTTTCTATGGTGTGCCCCACAGTTTATGTGTGTGAGTTTTAGTGTTGAATTCCAATTTGGGTGCATTAGCTCTGCTCCCCTCCCCTTCCTGAAACACAGAGAGCTGTCCGATTTTCATATCTGTCCTCCTGTCTTCGGAGGTGCAGTGCTAGTGGCTGATAAGAAACCACTACTGATGTGAAGAAAAATGGTGCCCAATAAAGATTTCAGCAGCATTGTCTGTGTTTGGGGTTTGAAGTAGCAAAGGCCAGCTGGAGTCCAGGGGGGTAGGGCGGGGTTACTTTCGGAATAGAGTTTATTTTCAAGATGAGCATAGTGGACGTGTTTGTGCCAAGTTGCCAAAGATTTGTTCATTTATAAAGTTTTTGTTAGTTTTAGTTGTATGAGGACAAAGTGCATAGCTCTGGGAGCTGTGTGAAAGATAGTGTTCTTGTCCTTACCTCATAGAGAATCTAGTAGAAAGAGTGCTAATTAAAGACTTGATCTTCTACTTACTCTCTGGTGGCCCTGGATAATTCAGTTAACCTTTGTGAGCCTCAGTCTCTTCATTCAAATAAAGGGAATAATAACACCTGATTCCTACAAGATTATTTTGAGGCTTGAATTGGACAATGTCTTTGAAAGTGCTTTGTAAATTCTTTGTAAAATTAGTGTTATTCAAGCATAAGGGATTATTATTATGATACTAAATCTTAGATGACAGAGAGAAACAAAGATAGCAATAGTCAGATTAGAGTGTATTAGCAGATTTACGCATATATAAAAACAATGTACAAGAGAGGTAGCTTTACAAATTAATAGGGGAAAGGAAGAATCATTCAGGAAATTATATTGGGACAATTGCTCATCCAAATGGCAAAGATAAAATGAGATCTTATGCCATACACAAGTCAATTTCAGGTGGGTTAATGACCTAAATGCATAAAGCAAAACTACTGAAGGAAAATATAGGAGACTGTCTTAATGGTTTTGGAACAGGGAAGAATGTTAAATGAGACACACTAAAGATAAACCCTAAAGAAAGAGATTGACAAATTTAACACAAATTGAAGAAGATATTTGGAGTATACATCACTGACAAATGACTAACATCTGGAACATGTAGAGAGCCATCTATAGATCAATAAGAAAGAGACAGTATCCGACAGAAAAAAGGGAAGATAATATAAGCAGTTCAGAGTAAAATGAAACAAGAACTGCCAATAAACCTGAAAAGATGCTTGATATCAGTTGTAATCAAGGACACGTAAATTAAAATGATAGGCTATTATTTCTTACATTAAATTGGGGTGGATGAAGTCTGACATTACCAATTGTTGATGAGGATGTTCAGTGATGGAATATTTTTATACAGTTGGTTGAAGTGTTAATTGTTAAAACTGGTTTAGAGAACAGTTTGGCACTGTCCAGTCAAGCTGAAAATATGCAGTCTTATGACTTGGAAGTTTTGCTCCTTAGAGAAGCTCTTCCCTATATGCACAAGGAGACAGCACGTTCATTGCAGCAAAAACATTGAAAACAACCTCAATTCTTATAACAGAAGAGTGGAAAATTGTGTATTTACACAGTGACAGACTGTACAACAGCTAAAATAAATATAATGGGACTACCTGTACCTATAGAAAAAAAATCCTAGAAATAAAATACCAAGTAAAAAGCTGATGAATTATATATGCACCCATTTATGTAACATGTAAAATAATGCTGTGTTGTTATGAATACCAATATGTAGTAATTGAATAAAGAATACAGTGGTAATGATAAACTCCAATTCTAGAACAGTGGTTACCTGCAGGATGGGATATGTTTGAGGAAGAGAGGGTAATAAGATTGAGTAATTGTATAACTGTATCCACATCAGTTTTCTTTCTTGTAATGAAGCAAGCACAAAATGCCAATGGATGATAGGTACTGTGGTGTTTGCTATATTTTTCTGTGTAAGGCTGATTGCTTGAAATATTTCATAATAAAGATTAAATAAGTCTAAACTGTTTAGAACCATAGTACAAAAACACTCCCAAAGCAGTTAATTATGTAATTTGGTAACTAGAGCATCCCCAATGGACCAGGCACAGAGCTGGGTACTAGGGGTTCAGTGGTGAGCAACACATATAAAGATACTGGGTTTGTTTGTTATGCTGAGGGAGAGCACACTATGGGGAACCATGGGTGTCTCAGTAAGAGGGTGTTAGCAAGAAGTGATTATAGGATTTGGGGTTTAGTTAGATCTGGGAGAGGGTCTGAGGAAGTGGGGATT